TTACCTCCAACCACCTTACTTCCCTGAGTGAGACCTATACCATAAATGGAGGGCTTCTTGGAGTGCCAGAGTTGGGTGGTATCACTGCTTGTGTAAAGCACTCATACTGGAAGCTTTCCTGCATCCCTTTCACCACAAACTCAGGGAGAGATGTTTGAGAGTTTCCTAGTCACTAGATTTTGGGCTGTGTGCACTCAAAGCATGTGGATGGCCCCTTCCTCTGAGCATTGTGGTGTGCAGTAGCCAGTACCCCTGTACTGGTTAAGTACCGCAGAGGTGTCAGGTGCCTAGTGCAGGAAGGAAACAAAGGTGACTTCATTGGGTGGAAAGGATTTTTCTGTGTGCTGGTCCTGGAGTTTGAACACACTGTCCTTTGCTTTTTTGGAGGGGCGGGGGTGTTCAGGGCTGATATTGGAGATAAGAGTCTCTCATGGGCTTTTGTGCCCAGGCTGGCTTTATATCACTATCCTCAGATCTCAGCCTCCTGAGTAGCTAAGGTTACAGGAGTGAACTATCAGTGCCTAGCAGAAAAATTTTTTCTTGTAACCCAGAGAAGCATAGAGCCTAGGAGCTGGCAAGTACCTTCTCCTTGCCCACTTTTCCCAAGGTCAGAAGGTCAGATGTGTGTGAGGAGGAGCATTGGATAGTTCCAGACTTGAGGATGAGAGTTACTCTGAATACCCACAGACATTTCACTATGCATACACACGTACTTGTGTGCAGACTCACACATGCACCAAGCTTGTATGATGTCAGTTTACTTCCACTGAGGGTGGATATCCCAGCACCATTCCCTCCCTGTCTTTCTCAGTAGCCATGGAAATGGAAGGGAAACAGAGAGAAGAATGTGATTCTAGGGTCTTCTGCTTCCTCTTGTGAGTCTCACCAGAATGCAAATCACCAAGCAGTCCACACTCCATTTGGCAGTGATGGCATTAGGACTCACGAAGTTGATCATCCCTACTTCCCCTTCTCTCCTGTGGCCCTGGCAGGAGAGGTCACCATGCACAGCACCCTGACTCCCCCAGCTGTGCTCCCCTCTTCAAAGCCACAGCATCAGTGAGCAGCTAACCAAGTGTCACACATCTTCCCACTGGCCTTTTCACGTCTGGAAGGTTTTGATTAAGCAGGTTCTCTTTAGTGTGTACGTAGTAGGATCTGTCACTGCCTCTGAGCTGGTTCCTGGAGAGGATGTTTTCAGAAACGCAGACACTTTGGTACACTGTCTTGGACCTGGAATTTCTCATCCTTCCAAAAAGAGTATTTTAAAGGCTTCTTTTTCCCCTTTTCTTTTTTCTTTTTTTGGCAGGGTGGTTGGATCTGTAGATTTACAGCTGGGTATCTGCCTCTGTGTTTAGGACTCTGTGATGGCATGTTTATGGCTGGTTGAAAGGTGATGGTGGAAGATGTATGAAGAGATTCTTTCATTGGACCGTTTTCTGGGGAATGAATGTTCTGTTGCTTTTCTGTGACATGGAGTGAAGACATGGTGGTCCACATGAATGTTGGGAATGCAGCAGAGCCTTCTCTGTCTCAGCTGCTTCTGAGCAATGTATATAAAGGGGGCCCGGGCTTCCTTTCATAGACGGCCTCTCCAGAGGTGCTATCAGTCCAGGCTCCCATCAGCAAATGTGTGTAGATCATGGTAGTGTTTCCTTACAGATATTTAATTACTTGTCTGTATTGGGGTTAATAAAAAGAAAGAAATGGAAAATCTGAAATTAGCTATTGGGAGTCTCAGCAGCTTTGGTGCTATGTGGAGATGCAGTGTTTTTGAAATTATAGTGGAAGAGAGTAGAGCAGTGGGAGTTGGGTTTTCTAAGCTTAGTGCTGCACATTTTGTCTGAATGTAAAGGGATGAATCCAGTATCTAGCTGTGGATTCCACTACAGTAACCATTTATTTCTCATCTCCACATGCCCTGCTAGACTCTTAGGCATATGATATTTAATTTAGCCCTCATGGGAACCTTGTGTAGTGGGCTAATTATTATGTCTTCATTTGATAGTGAGCTGAATTCCACATTCTGTGAGAATGTAAAGCACCGGCACCTAGCACTTATGTATCTGTTGAGTGAATACATTGAGAAAGTTAGGTTAGTAAAATTTGGTGATTAGTGAGTATAGGAAGAGACTTCAACATGTTAGCTTTTCTTATAGCCTTGACAGGATACTGGTCGTAAACAACTTCAATGAGGAAGGATTTGTTGGGTGCTGCTAGCTCACCCCTGTAATAATCCTTAACTACTCAGGAGACTGAGATCTGAGGATCCTGGCTTGAAGTCAGCCCAGGCAGAAAAGTCTGAGACTCTTATTAACCAGCAAAAAGCCAGAAGTGGAGATGTGGCTCATGTGTTAAAGTACTTCTGTGAATGAAAAAGCCAAGTGAGAGCATGGATCCCTGAGTTCAAGTCCCAGTTACTGGCCCTCCCAAAATAAATTTCCTCCTCCCCCGGGCAGGTTAGAGGTTTCAGTCTGTCCTGGCAGGAGGGACATGGGTGAGAGCAGCAGCTTACATTGTAGTAATCAGGAAGGAGACAGCTAGAGGGAAAAAGAAAGAGGCTACTTGCTTGTGTTAGCTACCTTTTTATTTCCACTTCCATGCCATCTAGCTCCCAAGCCTATTGTGTGGTGCCACCCACATTCAGGATGGTTCTTTCCCCCTCATATATTGCCCCACATATCAATCATCTCTGAGATGCTGTCATAGAAACACAAATGAACTTTACTAATCTCTTAGGCATCTGTCAATCTAATCAAATTGACAAGATTAACCATCACAAGGCCTGATGGAATTTCACCATTAAGGTGACCTTGATCTTCCAGGGGGTACTTTATGTATGGATAAAAAAGGAGGATAGACAGAAGGAGCAGGAGTAGAACATGAGGATCTTGGAAGCTTTGGTGGTAGGGGACACTGGCAGGGTGGTTGAAGAATGTTCTCACTTAAATCACTTTGGCTCATATCCCAAAAGAGATGGCAACCAGTAAACAGGGCTTTAACAGGCAAGCAAGTGGTGGTACACTCTTCATAGGCAGCAGGAAGAAGGCAAGAGACAATATGGTCATTAGGACACCTTAAAACAGTGTAGAAAGTCCATTACAAGGGTCTTCTAGTTTAGGATCAGCCTGTGGGTTATAGTGACATATGTGCCCCTAGTACCCTCTGTGCCTCTAGTATCACTCAGGTGATCTGTTGGAAGTGGGTTGGTTTATTCATGCACTCAGCAAACATGCCAAGCATCCCGGTAAGGCCTGTGAACCCTCAGGCAGCCACAACCCATCTATTGTAGTTTCCTGTATCCTGCCATAATCAGTGTAGATGGCATTTGTTTTCATTATAGGTATTCAGATGGCACTCACTGTATTTTTAGATCTTTTAAATTTTTTTCAGTTTTGTTTAATTTTTGTTTTTAATTATTTTTACTTTTGGACACATAGGGTCTTCTTGCTCTGTAGTCCAGGTTGATCTGGAACCTCACAGTCCTCTTCAGTGCTAGGATTAGAAACGTGCTGCCACCTGACCACAGTTTTTAATTTTGACATTAAGCCCAGCATAACAGCCTAAACTAAATCTTTAGAGCTGAGTTTATTTCCTTAATTTTTGGCTCTTGCATGTAAAATGTTTAATCTCTGCTCTGAGCAGAGATTTTACTTTGGAACTGGTGGGACTCTAAAATGTGACTATATTTGCTTATTTTTCCTCCATGAACCATTCAGAGTGGGTAGTGTCCGACCTTGTGCTTAGCATTGAAGAGGATTCTTCAGGGAGTCAGAAGTCTAGACCATGTGGAGAAGGAAGTCATTTGGCAAGAGGGAGGTTGGTGTGGAACAATGGGTGCTGCTGGCAGGCTATGGATCCGATGCTTAGAGGTTTCAGAGGAGAGCAGAGTAGCTTCTGGCTGGGATAGCAAGTAAACAGTATAAATTTTGGAGACGGTCATGGGACCTTGGAGGATAGTTACAACTTGCCAGGGGAAGACTTAGGCCTGGAGAGACATTCCAAGAAGAAAGTTCTGTGAGCGCAGAGGTGTGTTGATCTGGGGATTACCAGGACTTAACTAGGGTGTAGGGTGAATCAAGGTGAGTTATGAAAAATTTGGAGAGGAAAGAGCAGCTACAGCACTTGCAGGGTGGTCTCCAGGTGTGAGGTTGGCATCTACCTTGTGTATGGACATATACCAGCATCAGAACAGCTGAGCACAGACAGACCTCACCAAGCTTTGAATTATATGTACAGTTCTTTTTTTTTTTTTTTTAATTTAGTGGAACTAAATTTGAACTCAAGACCTTGTGCTCACATTGTGGGGTAGATGTTCTACCAGTTGAGCCATACCCCCAACTCTTTCTTATGCTTTTTAGTCTTATGCTTTTGTAGTCTTGTTTTCTTGTGGTTTTTTTTTTTTTTTTTTTCTACCAGAGTTGTCCTGGACTTTGATCTTTCTCTAAGAAAGTGCCCACTGATGAAGTTGAGATGATAGAAATGTGCCATCATATCTGGCTTGTTGATTGAGATGGGCTGGTCTTGCTAGTTTTTTGCTCCCAGTCTCCACCTCCCCAATAGCTGGGATTACAGGCTTATGTATACAATTGTTATTGCACACATTTTGGGGGGATACATTCTCAGCAGCAGGTTTTATGATGTTAGCTGTGTTTTATCTGCATCTCTTATATTGAAAATAGTCTGAGTTTTTTTTTTGTGTGTGTGTGTTTTTGTTTTTGGGCTACATACTAGTGCATTAGAGTGATGCTACATCTTGGGATCCCAATGATCCCAAGTCTACTCTGTCAGTAGGGACTTTCTTCATTCTGGCAGACAGAATGCCTAAGATATGCACAGCAGCATTCTTAGATATTGAATGGCTTGGTCCGTGCTGCCTTCATAGATTTCAAATTGCCTTTCTACAGAAAGGTGGAGTGGGGCATGTTTTTCAGAATCTTATCAAGCATTGCTTCAGATAACCTGGTTAACCTGTGTCGTCCTCTTGTCATTTCTTGCAGATGGTCACAAGAACAAAGAAAATATTTGTAGGCGGATTATCTGCGAACACCGTAGTGGAAGATGTAAAGCAATACTTTGAGCAATTTGGCAAGGTAAGTGCTGTGAGTGGGTTGGGTAGCACAGTTCAAAGGAAGCTAGCTGATTGGTCTTTAGGAGTAGCAATCATGGCCCTGCTTTTGCCATAGCTGTGTCTTTAAGAATCTTGTCCTTGAACTTATCACCATTGACTTTCTGCAGGAACCACTATGGAAACGTCTGGGATGGGATCAGCCTGATTCCCCATGAGCCTGCAGGACCAGGCAGAGTGGCCTTTCAACATGGTTTTGCTAACATTTGATGGCTGCATGGGGCCTGGGGTAGGGCCGTAGGGCTGTGACTGACTCACAGCCTGTATACTGGTGCTAGCTTCCTTATTCTATGCTTTTCTGGAAAATGCATTGATAGATGAGGCTCCTTGGGGCTCTTGGCAGCTGAATACTCTCTGTCAAGTGCAGGAGACTCAGGAAAAAAGTTGGCTGTACCCAACATCTGTACCAGTCTGTACCTGGTGTTCTCTGACCTGAGGGCCCATGAGACAGCAGCAGAATGGTGCTCTGGGCTCTGCTGATGGAATAGGCTGGGCACTGGAGCCTCAAATCCACCAAGAAATGGAAGGTGAGAAGGTATACATATGACACATGGAGAATCACAGACAGACAGACAGACAGACAGACAGACAGACAGACAGACAGACATCAGGGACTTCCATAGGTGATTAATGTGACTTCTTTCTAGTTGGTGGAGAGAGACTATGTCTTGGCAGGTGTGTTTTTCCTGAGGACCTTTGTTCCTTCCCCTGTTGGCCCAGGGGGATGATCTCTTTTGCTCTTTGTAAAATCTCCCTCTGTGGCTCCTGCAGAAACCCCAGTCCCAAGGAGGGTGGCAGGTGACCCACAGACCTAGCCCTTTACTTCCTGCATCTTTGAGACCAGCTCTTTCCACACAGGTCTGCCTTTCTCGCTAAAGGGCTAATACAGCAGAGCACTGTGACATTCTGGGAAAATGTGGTGCCTGTTCTACCCTCATCACTCATTTATTTACTCCCACATTAGCTGTCATGCTTGCCACGGGCAGGACAAGGGCACCACCTCCCACTGGCCAGCGGCGGGAAGGTTCTGTGCTTTCAGCTTGTTTGCCTAGGGCGATGGGCATCTATGACACCATCCCCAGGTTTATCTGTTTATGAGCCACTGTCTGGGATGAGGGCCATGACCTTTATTTAGCTTTGAAATGGAGATTTTCTCTGTCTCTGGTGTTAATCAATTTCTGCATGAGTATGAGACCATGCAACAAGGTGAAACCAGCCCTTTCCAGCCATGCTGTGCATTTGAAATGGCACTGACTTGCCCACCTAGATGGGTTTTGAAAGATGCCTTCTCCACAGCTCTTTCTGACACTGCCAGTTGGAAGTCTATTCATTTTGGCTGGTTCTAGGGAACAGCTAAATGTGCCAGGGACCATGCACTTTTCAGTACTTCTCTCTCCAAGACAGATTTAAGGTACAAGGGGATTTGTCCATCACCTGGCCCCACCCTGCCTGAGGGAGAAGGTTGGAAATAATTAAATGAGACAAGTCCATCTTATATAATGGAAAGATCTGGAGGGTGATTCGTCTTTCTGCCTTTAAAACAAGTCCAGGGGTAGTGTTTGCAAACATGAGGTGGGATTATTTTTCAAGCCATAACCTGCCTTGGAATCTCCTGGGCCTCTTTTTTTGCTGGTGTCAAAGAAGTTGATGTTGCCTAGATGAGTTGTTAAGAGTATTCCTAACAGGTCTGGGCTTGTCAACAGACACCATGTATCTGTATGTCCCCCAATCTTTGTTTCCTCCTCTTCTCCTTTTCTCTCTCTTCCCTTCTGTCTGTCTTTCCATTGTTTCTCATTAACACCTATAATTGTGACCCAGAATGTCAGTGGCGCAATGCCCTGCAAGTCTCAGCCATGGCCATGGCTGCTTTCGTCACTTCCCTGAGAACACTTGTCCTTTTGTGTGGGAAACAGTCACAAACCATCTTCTCTGGCATGGCACTTGGTGGGTCTGATGCTGCCCAGTTAATTGTGCAGTAGTGTTTGTGCATGCTGGCAGGATGTGTTAACTGATCAAGTGTTTCATTAAAGGACTAAGGAGGCTTTTGAGCGTATCAAAACCCACAATATTCTTTCTGCTCACATGTTACCAGCTTATCTCACATATATGCTCTGTGTATTATCTGGGTCTGCCTTCAGAAGAGCTTGCTTCTCATTCCCTGTAGCAAATGTTAGGTCTGTGGCCCCTTGCGCAGGCTCACCTCTCAGGATTCTGGTGTAATTTGTTTGACTTCAGAATGATCAAAGCAAGGAAAGGCTGCTGCTAGGCCTTGGAGCCATCAATAAATCCAGCAACTGTGAAAGAAGGTAACAGATAAGTTGACAATCTGACTCTACCTTTCAATAGTATATATTCTGGTTGAAGGAGGTGACTTGTATGCACATGTGCACACATGTGGGCGCACACACACATACATATGTACTTGTTCTTGTGTGAATATACTCAGATATAAGTGCACTCATATGTATATATTCACGTTCCTAAGTCTGCAGTTGTTTTGGGCTACCCTTCGTACCAACTGCAAGTTAGTAAGATGTAATTTTATTATTTATAAAAAGAGCTGAACTCTGGACCAGGCCATTTACTTGTTTTAATTTTTCTTTAGGAGGCCAGTGGTGGTGTTTTCACATTGCAGGTTGTTAAATGGCCTCTCAGTATGGTTATATCTTGGACTTAATGTCATAGCTTTCTGAGAGGTAGAGTTGGATACAGAAACTCATATCTCCCAAAGAAGCCTGTTCATCTGATAACAGAACCTGGACATTGCTCTTTTCCAACCTTTAATCAGTCCCTAGGATATTTGTAGGATGGATGGCTGCAGATGAGAGAAAGGCCTGGTGTCCATTTGGAGGGCCTAGGAACAGTGCCTGCCTGTACAGTGGAAATCAGTGTCGTCCAGGTCATTTGGTGACCTGGTAAGGGCCAGGGAGGATAAGATTCAGCCAAACTCAGCTAGCTAAGCAGTATATAAGCCAAAATTCCTATGCTGCTTCCATTCTCTCCAAGTCTAGAACTTTCAATTGTCTCTGCAGCCTCCACACTGGGTATGCCACCTTCTAGGTTTCCCTTCCTGTCACTCTGTTGTCCCTTCTCTTCCTGTCTGAAGTGTCAGCTGCTCCAACTGTGTGTTTCAGGTGCAGGGAAGATGGGTTAGACTGTTATCAAGGGGCCAAGCTAAAGGAGTTTAAATATGTCATTACTGAAAGTGGAGTGGGTTCAGAATGACATACCAAGGGCTTTAAATAACTCAGATTGGAGGCTTATTGTGCTTTCTTCCACCTTCCTCCCAGAAGGTTAGGGACACTTACATTTAACATGAAATTGTGAGGTAAGGCCCCTGGTGTAAGGATAACTTAGATGGCTGCCTTCCCTCTGGGTAGCTGTTCTGATGTCTGCCTTGGAGCAAGGTAAGTTGTTCAGGCCATCATGTTGGGACTAACGTGATACCCTGGGACAGGTTATTTCTGTGCTGGCCTTGGTTTCTTTTCTGAAGGAAGAGATTGAAAACTTGTAAAGGGCTAGAGTAGTAAATATTTCTGCCTTGCAAACTGTATTGTCTCTGTTGCAACTTCTTGCAAATGTTGCTGTAGGGAGCAAACAACCAACATATAAACAGACAAGGGGTCTGATGATGGAGTTCCAGTAAAACTTTATTCATCAAAAATAGATGAGCTATATTTTGGGGCAAATTTTCTAATCCCTTATTGAATAATTATTCCTAAGATTGGTTTTAAGCTTAAAAAGTCAGTGATGTAGAAATTCTCTAAATATAAATAGATAATATATGATAATTGGGGGTATCTATACAATCCAAAACAATGCATTATGAAGAGTTGTGAACATGTTAGGTAATAACCAAAGAGTCTTAACCATATTAGAGTTTATTTCTGGACTTGATGATGCAGGGAAGAAGGTCATTATTTATAACTGAAATCTTCATCCTGTGTCTAAGACCCAGACAAACCATATGGTTCTGCTATCTCCCTACTGCAAGAACTAGATCTAAATGAATACAACTTGGGATTGCATGGCTCTGATTTTACTCTGAAGATACTTTGTGCTGTGTTGTGATTTTTCTTTATTAAAGTTTATTGTGCTTGGTGCTAAGCTTTTTAGGGATGTTACAATATGCTTCTCAAGGATGTCAGTGAGGTAGGTGCATATCTGTTATGTGGGTGATAGGGAAGAGGCCATTGTTTAACATCTCTGCATACTGGGCAGAGCGTGGATGGTCACTCATTTTTGCATAATATATCCTTTTCCCTTTTACAAAAAAAACTCCTACTTTGACACTAAGGGAGAGCAAGTTCTGTTCATTTGTCAAAAACACTGATGTACAGTAATTTATTTAGCTGCCTTGGTTTCTTAGTGGATATTATCTGCATTTCATGATTCCATACCTACGGAAATGATGCATATATAGGCCATTCCAAAGAATGGCAGGTAAATGATGCTCTGTTATCCTTGTGCAGTCCCAAGCAATGGGATAGACTGCTTTTCAGAATCCACCCAGAAGAGCCCAGCTGGGTAATTAAAGCACTCTAGATCAAAGAAACCCCATGCATTTGAGTTTCCCTCGTTCTTTATCCCTTCAGCAAGGAGGCATTTCTTACATTGCCACTTGTAGGATTTGGAGATCATAGAGAGGCCTTGAAACACTGAGCCTTTTGCCTGGTCACAGATGGAGCAAGAAGTTGTACACCATTCAGCTGCTCCCCAGATGACAGAGCTGCTCAGGTGTGCCCTGGCCTGATAGGTGATGCTCACTTGGTAGGACTCCTGTGAGAGCGAGGCAGCCCACATTTGGAGGTTTCCAATTATACTTCACATGGCGAACTGTGTAATTAGTTTGGAAGACTTATGCTTAGTCATTGGTTTATCCTAATCCGCTTTGGCTTTCCCCAACAACAAAGTGAGCTTATTTTGCTAAGCTGAAATGACTCTGCACCCTTTGTCCTGCCTTTT